GTATGGTATGGGATGGTATGAAGACCATATGGGATGGTATGGTATGGTATGGTGTGGGATGGTATGGTATGGTATGTTATGGTATGGTATGGTATGGTATGGTATGGGATGGGATGGTATGAAGACCGTATGGTATGGTATGGTATGGGATGGGATGGGATGGTATGAAGACCATATGGTATGGGATGGTATGGTATGGGATGGGATGGTATGAAGACCATATGGGATGGTATGGTATGGTATGGTGTGGGATGGTATGGTATGGTATGGGATGGTATGGTATGGTATGGGATGGGATGGTATGAAAAGAAGACCATATGGTATGGGATGGTATGGTATGGTATGGTATGGGATGGGATGAAGACCATATGGTATGGTATGGTATGGTATGGTATGGGATGGTATGAAGACCATATGGTATGGGATGGTATGGTATGGTATGGTATGGGATGGTATGAAGACCATATGGTATGGGATGGTATGGTATGGTATGGTATGGGATGGTATGAAGACCATATGGTATGGGATGGTATGGTATGGTATGGTATGGGATGGGATGAAGACCATATGGTATGGTATGGTATGGGATGGTATGAAGACCATACGGTATGGGATGGGAAGGTATGAAGACCATATGGGATGGTATGGTATGGTATGGTATGGTGTGGGATGGTATGGTATGGTATGGTATGGGATGGGATGGAATGAAGACCATTTGGTATGGGATGGTATGGTATGGAGTGTCACACCCTGCCAGGAGCCCAGCTCTTTGTTTCCTGTTTTACTTTGACATCCTCCTCTCTCCTCTGTGTCACTTCCTGTCCTTCGTTTACCAGATTCATCCCAGCTGTGTTCACTTGTATTTAACCTCTCTCTGTTCTCCTTTCCAGTTGCCAGTTTGTTGTTGTCTTCTAGCTCTTAGTTCCAGCCGTGATTAGTGTTTGCTCTCAGTGTTTTTGACTTAGTTTTGGTGCATCCATTTCAGCTCTTTTTGCCAGCTAACTTGGATTTGCTTGTTGGAATATTTATCTGCTTTTTGACCTCTGCCTTAATAAAGGACATTTGCCTTTTACCTTCTTGTTCTCCAGCCTTGCTTTTGGGTCCAGTTCCCTATTCCTGACAATGGAGACCATATTGAATGGGAAAGTATCTCCCCAGAGTCCACTCTTGAAGGAAACAACATAGAGGTGGTTCATGCATGCAAAGACCTTAATGACTCCCTCTACTTCAAGCCCCAGATAGACAATTGAGAACAAACTCTAACTCAGACTGGGCTTTTTCGTCCAAAATAAACAGATTTTCTTTGTAGGTGTTGCTAGTCACAATGACATTTCTATCTGTTCTGGATTTTTTCACATTTTAGAGCATTGACCCATCATTGTGAGTTATATTCTAGAGTGCGATGACCTTCTTTGTCTACTAGGAGGTGGAGCCATTAGTACACTTGGACTACTGCCCACTTACAAAACTGTGTAACTGTAAAATTTTGCTGCCTCTTGGCCAAGACTCCCTTGGAAAGGGGTAGCCGCGTTTTAAAAAAAAAACTAATATCCGCCCCTCCAAAAACTTGTGTGACAGTGTGGTCTGGGGATCGAATCCCGCCCGGGCCTTCGTTTCTCCACCTTGCCACACTTGCATCCACACCACCTCGTTTAAAAAAGAAACTCTGTCCACACGTACCCGGATAAATACGTTGTTAAGGACATGCCAGACCTGTAGGCGGCAGTACTTCCCCCGTTCTTAACCTCGTCCTTCGTCTGTGGTCTTCCGCAAGGAGCAGTAATTCCGCTTGCAAAAACAAACGAGCAAAACGCGCTTGGACAATTGATAAAGCGAGCGCAGCTCTGAGGGCATCCATGCTGTCGGCTAGTGTAAACACAGGTCGCACACGTGATGTCAGCATTTTTTTGTTGCGGAAAGTGACGTTGCGGACCTTAAAACTCCGGTTTTGTCTGTCCACACGCAGACACCCAAAAGGGAGGAAACGCAGATCTTCACTTTGGCCGGAGTTTTTAAAAAGATTTGTTATCGTGTGAAAAAACTCCGTTTTCGTGTGGATGACAGGCCAAAACGTAGAAAAATATCTACGTTTTGGCAGATCCCCGGCTACGTGTGGACAGGGCCTGGGACATTTCTGGTTAAGATTAAATTTGACAAAACTAGCGTCCGGCGCCTCAGGAGAGGAAGGCAGCAACTCGCTCACACTGTTTACAGTGGGGATGGGGAGCTGCTGACGTCAACTGAGGCTATAGTCGGACGGTGGAAGGAATACTTTGAGGAGCTCCTCAATCCCACCAATGCGCATTCCGAGGAGGAACCAGAGCTGGGAGGCCTGGGGATGGACTGTCCGATCTCGGGGGCAGAAGTTGCTGAGGTAGTCAAACAACTACACAGCGGCGGAGCCCCGGGGGCGGATGAGGTTCGTCCTGGGTATCTCAAGGCTATGGATGTTGTAGGGCTGTCATGGTTGACACGTCTCTACAACATTGCGTGGTCATCGGGGGCAGTTCCTAGGGAGTGGCAGACCGGGGTGGTGGTCCCCATCTTTAAGAAGGGTGACCTGAGGGTGTGTTCCAACTATAGGGGGATCACACTCCTCAGCCTCCCTGGAAAGGTCTACGCCAAGGTACTGGAGAGGAGGGTCCGATCGATAGTTGAATCTCAGATAGAGGAGGAGCAATGTGGTTTTCGTCCTGGCCGTGGAACTGTGGACCAGCTCTATACCCTTGCAAGGGTGATGGAGGGGGCATGGGAGTTTGCCCAACCAATCCACATGTGCTTTGTGGATTTGGAGAAGGCTTATGACCGTGTCCCCAGGGGCACCCTGTGGGGGACGCTCCAGGAGTATGGGGTGGGTGGCTTTCTGTTAAGGGCCATTCAGTCCCTTTACCAGAGGAGCGTGAGTTTGGTCCGCATAGCCGGTAGTAAGTCGGACCTGTTCCCAGTGAGGGTTGGACTCCGCCAGGGCTGCCCTTTGTCACCGGTTCTGTTCATCACTTTTATGGACAGAATTTCTAGACGCAGCCGTGGTGTGGAGTGTGTCGAGTTTGGTGGCAGGAGAATCTCGTCTCTGCTTTTTGCGGATGATGTGGTCCTCCTAGCTTCATCCAGCTCTGACCTTCAGCTCTTGCTGGGTAGGTTCGCGGCCGAATGTGAAGCGGCTGGGATGAGGATCAGCACCTCCAAATCTGAGACCATGGTTCTCGACCGGAAAAGGGTGGCTTGCCACCTCCGGGTCGGGGGAGAGGTCCTACCTCAAGTGGAGGAGTTTAAGTATCTCGGGGTCTTGTTCACGAGTGAGGGTAGGAGGGATCGGGAGATCGACAGGCGGATTGGTTCGGCGTCTGCAGTGATGCGGACGCTGAGCCGATCTGTCGTGGGGAAGAGGGAGCTGAGCCAGAAAGCCAGACTCTCGATTTACCGGTCGATCTACGTCCCAATCCTCACCTATGGTCATGAGCTTTGGGTAATGACCGAAAGAACGAGATCGCGGATACAAGCGGCCGAAATGAGTTTCCTCCGTAGGGTGGCCGGGCTCAGCCTTAGAGATAGGGTGAGGAGCTCGGACATTCGGGAGGGACTCGGAGTAGAACCGCTGTTCCTCCGGATCGAAAGGAGCCAGTTGAGGTGGTTTGGGCATCTGGTCAGGATGCCTCCTGGACGCCTCCCCGGGGAGGTGTTTCGGGCATGTCCTGCCGGCAGAAGGCCCCCGGGTCGACCCAGGACACGTTGGAGAGGTTACATCTCCAATCTGGTCCGGGAACGCCTTGGGGTCCTGCCGGAGGAGCTGGTGGACAAGGCCGGGGAGAAGACGGCCTGGAGCTCCCTAATTGGGATGCTGCCCCCGCGACCCGGACCCGGATAAGCGGAGGAAGACGAAGACGAAGACGAAGACGAAAACTAGCGTTTGTGGTTCTGTCAAACAGAAACATCTCAGACTTCTGACACGATTCTGAAAACTGCTGCATGAAACAGAACCCACTTTGTGTTTGAGTTCTATGGTTTTATACTTTTAAATAAAAAAACAGCTGTCAGGCAAGACATAATTGTGTATTTAGAATAGAATAGAATAGAATAGAATAGAATAGAATGATGCAACCTACTAGACAGAATTACCATCTGTAAATTGTTTGGATAAAATTGGATAAACTGAACCTGCATTCTTTATTCATTAATTTAAATGAAATCAAACTGATTTTAAAACTACTGAGTGAATTTTTTAACACAAAGAAAACAAAAGAAAGATGAATAAAATGAAGACAATTGTTTATGCTGAACCTGCTTGTTTTAGTGTATTAACACTAATGCATCTCTCTGGAGAGCAGGGGCATGACTATGGGTGGGCCTGAGCCCAACCAAAAAATGGCTTCCTTAAAGAGATCCTATGTAAATTAGTTTATTTAGGGTGGGGGGTCATTTCAGGTTGTCCTAAAATTAAATTAAACCCAACCAGGTATTTCTGATGTACATATGTATTAATGTATGTATATACATATACATACGTAGAAATATATGTTGAAGCAAAAGTGGAATTTACAGATAAACATATTTTCATCAACATTTATTCTGCCCACTTATTTTATATTGGGCCCATCTGATAAACAGTTACTGACTACGCTGCTGATTATGAGAAACCAACACAACCAAAAAAAAAAACACCTCACTCACTTTCTGAGTTTAGTTTTGTTTTTAATATATCAAAACGCATAAACAGTTTCTTTCATTGAAAAATACAAAAAACATTCAGCAACATCACAGTTTGTGATTCGGGTGTCAGTGGTTGTTCTGATGTGGGGATGTTGAAGAAGCTCCAGTAGATGACTGTTTTGGTGTGCACAGTTTGAGTTTTATGATCTTTATTATCATGTTCTGCATATATTTACTGGTTAAAACAGAGAATCCGTTATTGAATACAAAATTAGTTGTCTCAGATGTTCATTCTAAAAAAATATCTCCTTGTTTTGTGTTTTTTTAAAGACACACACACACAGAGAGAGAGAGAGAGAGAGAGAGAGAGAGAGAGAGAGAGAGAGAGAGAGAGAGAGAGAGAGAGAGAGAGAGAGAGAGAGAGAGAGAGAGAGAGAGAGAGAGAGAGAGAGAGAGAGAGAGAGGGGGGGGGGGGGGGGGGGGTAGCGAGGAACGGGAAACAAGCCGATGCTCCGATCTGACTCTGGGTCAGTTTGGACCTCCAGACTCTGTTCAGAGAGATGATCCTGCAGGTTGTGTATGGACTTTGGTCTTTTTGTTTTCAAATTCAATTCAATTCAAAAATACTTTATTAATCCCAGAGGGAAATTGATTAAATTAGAGATATTTAAATTAGATTAAATTAATTTATTTAAATTAAATAAAATTCTACTCACACACCCACTGCAAAACTAACACACAGCCTCAAACAGCTCTCTAAAGCATGTTTGGTGTGGAGCATCGGATGGATGGAAAAACAGCTGGAAACAGAAGGAGCAACAGCAGCATTCAGCGTTTAATTAGTTTGCCCTTCGGTTATCTCTTTACCACCACAAACTGTTAGATGCAAAGTAAAAATCCAGCCAGGGTAAGATACACTGTGTGGTGGCGCTTTGTACAGTGATGGTTCTGTGATATTTACAAGTGATGCTGAAAGTTTGCTGGTGTCATAAAAATCTCGTCATCTCCGTTGATCTCATCTGCTGCTGCCACAAACCGGTTTGAACCAGTTAAGATAATGTAAGCTGTGACCATTATCAGCAGGCTGTAATCATCACTGCCTGACCTACCTAGCGGCTATCCTCTGCTGGAACCCGTCTGACCTCCGCTCTTTGAAACAACTCCCTGCCGCCTCATCTGTCTCCTGCATCAGCATTTCACCCCCCTGAGCATCCAGGAGGCCACAGAGAAGAATCAAGATGCAGTTTTGAGTTTAAACAAGAAAGAGCAGGAGGAGAAATCAGAGGAAAGGAAAGGTGTGTAAGGAGAAAAGGGTTCAGCTGAAGAGGAAATGGAATGAGAGTGTTGGAAAGGAGAGGCAGAGAAGGTGGAGTGTTGATGGGGTGATGGTTAAAGAGGAGGACGATGGGAAAGCTTCACTGTCATAGTTGGGAGGACACTCCAGCTCCAAGCAGCGGATAGAGGAGTCTTCGTTGCCGTAGTTGGCCCAGTATTCTTCTGGACCCAGGTTGGGAAGAGCCGCCTCGTCTGCTGACAGCTCATACTTGTAGGGCTGGGTTTCAGGGGCGATTTTTGGGACATGCTGAGGTTTTCCGGCTGAGAACGGGAAGGTCTTCACAGTCTCTGAGCTCTTCTGGTAGGAGGACTTTGATGAAGAAACTGGCTTATTCTTGGAGAACCACCAGCGGGTCTTGGTGCTGAAGGTGGTCGTGGTGGACCCAGCCAGTGATCCTGGGTCAGGTAGAGGGCAGAGGGCGAAGTCCATCTCACGCAGGAATCTGAGGTCCTGACCGCGACGCTGGGATGGGGAGGTGCAGATGACCTCAGAGGAGGAGATGCGGGCCTTACGGAACCACTCCCAGAGGGGACGGGCCTCACAGCCGCAGGACCAGGGGTTGCTGTTGAGGCGAAGGAACTGGATGTCCTGCGTGTCTTTCATGGCTTGGCCCGGCAGCTCAGCCAGAGAGTTGTTGAACAGGTAGAGGATGGTCAGGCGGCCCAGATCACGAAAAGCCCGACGGTTGACCTGTCTGATACGGTTGTCGTGGAGAAGGAGGCGGTCCAGGTTGACCAGGCCTCTGAAGACGTTCTCAGACAGCGCGCGAATACGATTCCCATGCAGGAAAAGGTGAGATAGGTTGACCAGATCTGAGAACAGGTCATCCTGCAGGAAATGAAGCTGATTCTCCTGCAGGGAAAATGAAAACACGAGAAGATCGGTCGGGGGTGCAAGTGGATGATTTTTATAAACACTCTATTCATTAAATTACAGGAACTGTGAACAAAATGTCACTTTACAAACAACGTTTTCCTCCACAGTAACAACTTCTCTAGTTGTTTTGCTTCAACAGAACAACTAAATGCATCACTTTTCTATTCTGCTGTGTTGAAGTCAGTTTACATGTATTTTCTCCTCTTCTAAAACTATCGAGGACCATGATGACTGTTACTGTTAAGCAGCTTTGATCTACCGGTCAGCTGAGACCTGGAGAGTCTGACTGTAGGAAGTGTTGGTACCCATTCCCTGAAATGATATCTTGGCAGGAAATGAACATTAATCAGAACAAAGGCTGATTTCAAGGAGAGCTGAGATCTGGCTGTCAGCAGCCGACAACTGTGAAGCTGGAGCCAAAAAAAAAAGGACATTAAATATTTGTAGTTTATTTGATCAAAGAATGACTCATGAAATGAATCTTTTAATTTATGTAAACGTGATGATGTGTCGTTCATTACCTGACCCATCTGAACTCAGCCTATTGTTTCCTCTGGTGTTCACGAGTGTGTGTGTGTGTGTGTGTGTGTGCGTGTGTGTGTGTGCATGGACGAGTGTGCGGGTGATTGTATGTCCACTTTGGAAGTTGGGTGCGGGAGGGGAACTGTAATTTTTAATTGTTTTACACTTGGGGAGGGGGGCTGGGATGGGAATGTGGGATCTATGGGGCCATTTTAATCTGTAAAGCACTTTGAGTTGCATTTTTTTGTATGAAAAGTGCTATATAAATAAAGTTGATTTGATTTGATTTGATTTGTGTAAATTTGTCATTTTAATGATTCAAAACTGTTTCCTTAGTGATGAGGGCAAAATTACTCTTTAAAACTATGGTTTAAACTTTTCTAGCAAAGATATTTTTCTACAAAAATACCAAAAAAGATATTATATACATCTATTAATTGTTTTGAACTGACAGTACGTAAGCATATTGCAACTGATTTTAGACTTTGCAGATATATTATATCAGAACTCAGTCGCTTGTCTTCGTTCTCTCAATGTTATTTAAAATAGCCTATGTTGTTTTGTTCTGCGGCATCCTTTCAATACCCACCACTGTTATGAACATCTTTCTCGGTTGTCCTTGAAAGGTAGATTACAATTTCATTGGTTATTTATTTTTAAATGCTGTTTTCTATTGCCTGACTTTTTTGTGTTTATAAATGATGACACAGCAATACCCATATAGGAATAGGACGAGCGACAGCAGTCATGTATGGTTATGTTTGTTATTTTTAGTTAATGATGGTGTATTAACTCTGCCAGCTTACTCTTTTTTGTTGCATTGTAGGAGGACCTGCTCGAAAGCGAGATGTCAAATCTCAAGCCGTTTATCCTCCTGAAAAATCTAAGTCAAATAAACGAAAAAAAAAAATAGACATTTACACTATAGTTTAGTTTAAACTTTTTTTTTTCATTTTAGTCATTTGAATCATAATCCTGGGTTGCTTTTGTTGTTCATTGCACGATTTCTTTCAGAAAAAAGTGAGGGGGCGCATCTTCTTTTCACCACAGCATCAGATGTATCCTCTGATTATCTGAAACAGAGCATTCGGTGTGACTGAGCCAGATAAATCTCCTCATCGAGGAATGGTCTTGAGTTTCTGATATTTATTTACTCCCAGATTGGGCTGTGATGTTCTGAACTCACTGAACCTTCTTAGATGTCATTCTTATACAAGTGCAGAGTGAAAGCCTCCGAGTGTGTGTGGGTGTGCTGCAAGCCTGGATGTGGACTGATGCGTCAGTAAATAAATTCTGCAACAAGACTGCGTGCATATGAATGGACCAAGACCATTTTTAGGTGTTTGCACTCAGAAGCAGACTTTACCTGCAGGTAGAGAAACTGCAGGCTGTAGAGTTTGTGGAAGAGGTCATGGGGGAGAGTGGCCAGCCCACAGCGATGCATGTGCAGGCTCTGCAACTTCTCCAGGCCCCTGAATGCTCCACCTTCCAGGTGCCGCAGCGAGGGATTGTTGCCCAGGTCCAACTCCTCCAGGATCCTGAGGTTACTGAAGGTGCCGGCCTCAACCCTTGTGATGTTGTTGCCATACAGCCAGAGAACCTGCAGCAGGGTTTAGTGAGATGTAAATACTTATCCCCAGATAGCTCTGGAAAGTAAAAGAACAAGAATCACCTGTGTCTCAAACGCAAAAGAGTCTGCACGAAGCTCTGTGATGCGGTTGTTCTGCAGGAAAACCCGTTGTGAGTCATAGGGCACACCGGATGGTACCTCGACGAGGTTCTGGGACTGGCAGCTGACCGTCATGGGCATTGGGTAACACACACACAGCCTGGGACATGCGGCAACCCCGCCTGGCTTCATCACCACCAGCCACAGAACAAGCCACAGAGTCAAACCACCTGAAGACACAGGAGGAGGAAAAAGACTGATTAAACCTCAAAAGGTTGTTTGACGTGATTTGGAAAAACCGTGCATGATGACTGACAGAGACTCTGAGGTTGAGTCCCATCTGTCAAACCTGTTATTGTGATTCTTTTGGGGCTCTGCAGCCGTCACGCTTCATGTATAATTCAAACAAAAATCATTCATCTGTTCTACCTGATCACGTTACACAGGTGTCAGTGTTGTTCCCAAACCCTGAGACTAAACGACTAAAAGGAAAATGAATCATACAGACTTTTAAAACAGAAGAGTCAGAGTCACACCTGATTCTCTCATTTGCATGAACCCAGCAGTTCTCAGGTGATTCACAGCAAAAGCTTGTCTATGCTCATGGTGTGTGCAGCTGCAGAGGACATAGTGGGCTATAAGCAGTAACCAGACCCGGATCCGTTTCAGTTTTCATTAATAAGTCAGATGTTTTTGGCAGCGCTCAGATAACAGATGCACACAAGAGGCTAAAGCAGGAAAAGTACAGACATTAAATAGTAACGAAGTTCCATTCATCCTCTGCGCGCAAGATTTTCCAGCGTGTAACTCTTTGACCTTTTGTCAGGTTGGATCGTTGTGCGCACTGGAAGGCTGGAGTTAAGATTTGTGGGACTAATGCGACACTTGGGTAACGTTTATTTACCACAAAAGGAACGTCCGCGCAAAAGCGCCATGCGTAAAAGTGGCAAGGAGAGATTAGCTAAGCATGTTTACACACATTTACAACAAAAACACTCAAACTCAGCGACTCTGATCAGGTGGAAACACACTTTTAAATAGATCACACCATTCCGAGGGATGTTTGTTTGTATCAAAGTATTCCCAAGAAAGTGCAAACATTTTGCACCCTCTGCATCTAATTACCGTAAAAAACGTAAAACCAAGGATTTCTGACTTTTATACATCATATTCATTTCTAATTAAATGGAAAAAATATGTCACTGTAAATACTTTAAAACCAAGCCAGAGTCTGTGCGTAAAAGCGCACCGGAGATAGATTATCAGACATTAAAAATAATAGAAATGAGAAAGTTTTATATGACTTTAGTGGGGAAATTGATTTAACAATTAAGAGGACTAAAATGTTTTAAGAGATGGTCTTACCCTTGAAGTTTTGGGCGCCGGAGCCCTTCTTGGTGCAACGAGTCTCCATCTCGAACCAAAGCCGAAAGCGAGTTAGCCTGAGCGGCGTGGAAGTGCCTGCTTGCTGCTATCTCTGCTGGGCTCCAGCTCTGGTAACCGAGTCGCTGCTGCTCCAGGCAGTGACGCGCTGGAGTCCTGGGGAGACATTTATACCGGCGGCCGGACCGTCGCCCACTGCCGTGGTGGGCAGCTACGGATTCTCTCTACGTCATCCTGGGCGGAAGAGAGAGAGGAGGGGAGGGGGAGAGAGAGGCACCGGAGGAAGCGACCAGAAAGGCAGGGGTAGGGAGAAGGGAGGGTTTGGTATGTGACTGCCAAAAGAGAAATTAAAATTTTATTATTCATTAATGTGCCGTAATAAAGGCACCAGATGGCAAAGTCCTTCATCATTTATTCAAATTTACCCAACAATATCTGAAAAAGACTCTAGTGACATGCTCTAAATAAATGTTATCTTCTAAAACAAAGACGAGTGTGGGAGGATTTATGGAGGTGGGATCATGGAGGTTAGAACAAGCCTAATGGGTCCTGGAAGAAAGCCCGAGAATCCACAGCTAATTAGAACAACTGAGGGTTCACCTGCCTCATGTGCTCACATAGGAGGTGGTAAAACTAGCTGACATTAAAATCCAAATATCATGGCCCTTCTTTAGCGTGGGCCCGATTGGAAAGATGCAGAGAGCTGCCCACTTCAGGACAACACGTGAAAAGGAAACCCAGCGGTGGAGAAATGATCCAAGTCAGCATATGGACTCTGGAGCATTAGTGTGAGGAAGAAGGATGACATATGACTGACACATCTTTGTGGGACAGCATGTACTGCACATCAGGAAGCCAACTGGGGGGGGGGGGGGGGGGGGGGGTACTGTGTGCCGTACCCTTCTTTCCATTCTGACTGGCTCCCAGTTGATATTTGGCTGCAGCAGAGATGGATATGGAGACGATGGTGCAGGGCAGTACACACAGACGGGATGAGGGATGGAGGTCTATAAAATGTGTCATGTTGAAGGGTGGGCAGGGTTTTTACTCACAAGTGAGTCCTCCCTGAATGACACAGGTCATGGCCAGGTCCACCATGATTCACATCATCTGTTCCTGAGGGAACATGTACACATGAAAGCCTGCTTCATGGAAGGTCATCTGCAGCTCCAAGCTGGGAGCTGGGAGCAAAGTGGGGGAGGTGGACAGCTCACCAAGCAGGCGGCCTCCACGGGTGGCTGGGGAGCTGATGAGGTTGTGTGTGTGTGTGTGTGTGTGTGTGTGTGTGTGTGTGTGTGTGTGTGTAAGTGTACAATTAATGAATTCACAGTGGCCTTGGAGTAACAAGGGTTGGCAGATGCTTATTAACTTGCCACCATCTTTCAGGGTTTGTGATTCGTTCACTACAGACACAGTTTACACACCCTGGTGGATATTCAATTCAATTCAATTCAATTCAATTCAATTCAAATATACTTTATTAATCCCAGAGGGAAATTAGAGTTTCAGTACACACAATTCTGAGATCAGACATACATACATAGGCATAGACACATGACAAGAATTGGTGACTGAGGTCATTCGCAACCGGAGTCTCGCTAACTTAATAGCGATCAGAGGGTTTATATGAGGATTGGGTCAGGTGGAGGAAAAAAGGCACTTCAGAGTTACCCTCCACAGGGAGGGCAGCTTTGCTATGCAAAAAACACCTCAGGCAGAAATGCAACAGACTTCAGACATCACACAACATATGTGTCCACTAGGTGTGGAGGTAGGGTTGGGGACTCTCCACACATCAGTGCATGCAGCTGCAATGAGCAGCGCTCGTCACCTCCGTTTGGACAGGGGTGGGTTAGAGAGCACAGTGACTCTTGGAAACGATTCAACAGCCTTCACCAGTCGCAGTCCCAACCAGGCTGGGATAAAGAGACAAAGTTGCCATGGCGACGTCAGCATTCCACATTTCTTCTGAGGGGGAATAATCGCTTGAGCCTCACAGGCTCAAGGGCACCAGATTCAGATAAGAACTTGTTTTTGGGCCAGACAGAGATAATTTCCTCTCTGTCTTAACCCTTTGATGCATGAATTATGAAATCTTCAACCATGATTTTTTAAACAATTTTTTTCATTCATCTTTAGGTGTGAATGAAATAAATTTCATATTTACATATTTTTTGTAACATTTAATTTACACATAGTTTATTACATGTCAACTTCAGTGGACAGCGTGCATTCTGAACATGAAATATGTTGGCTTGGCTTACTGAAGTCCAAATGGAGGGGCTCACATGCATTAAAGTCTTCAACAGCTGTGCTTAATAGCAAAATAAATAGATAACAATTTTGAGTACCTGTCCACTGTAGTGACCATTAAGCATCAAAGGGTTAAAGTTCTGTTGGTCCTTAACCCCTCTAAATCCAATAATGGCGTAAATTAATGTATTCCCAACCATGCTGTCCCGTCCACTTTCTCCTTGATTGAATCCACCTTCTGTGCCAGAGTCTGAATCTCAGCCAAAGTTCCAAACTTACGACTCATCTCGACAATCATAAGAGTTTGTGCGTTCACAGCGCGATGTAATCCATGAGCTCCGGGATTGAGCCAATATTCCTCGAAAGCTCATTAATTTTCCGGTAAGCCTCAGCAAGAAACCTGACACCAACACCACGAATATCCAGACGTCTTCAGAATCCTCTACAGACAGCTGAGAGAGGCAGATCATGTTCCACTGTTTCCAGGAGTCCATGATATGCCCAGCTGGCTCTGTCCCAGAGGGGCATCCGGGAGCCCCTTCTCCCGTTCTCATCGTTGAAAAAATTTTGTCAATCGCGTTGAGAGACCAACTGACCAGGTCCACTTTTAATAATTTCCAGTTTCCAGAAAAAATACAGAAGCGCCGTACACCCAAAGACAGACAAAGAGCCTTGGGATAAGATAGGGAGGAGAGGAGGAAAAAAGCGTCTGTACTCTCCAAGAGCCGGAAGAAATGGTTGTGACTTTTTTTTAACCAGTTCTTAAAGAATATGAATGAAAACACAGAAACCTTTGTTTCACTCGTGTCCGTGAAGCTGTTTAGTGTGGAAAAAAATGTGTGAACTCATTTCAAATCACCAAAATAAAATCACATGTTCTCACACCCCAGTTCTTAATACCCCCCTTCCTTCAGCATCAATGTCAGCATGGAGTCTTGCTGTAGTTGTGGGGAAGGTTCTGTATGTAATCTAATGGTAAACAGTCCATTCTTCTGGCCAGTAAGCCTCCATTTCCTGTAAATTCATGGTCCGTCTGTCATGAACAGCATGTTTGGGCTCTCCCCACAGTGGCTCAATGATACTGAGGTCAGGGCACTTAGACAGCCCCTCCAGAACCTTCACTTTACTCTGCTGGAGCCAGTGGCAGCTCCACTTGGCCTTGCGTTTTGGATCATTGTCTTGGTAGAACAAGTCATACCCATGTTCAGCTTTTGGGCTGATGAGTGCAAATTCTCTTCCAGTATCTGTTGATAAGCTGCTGCATTCATCGTGTTATCAGTTCTGACCAGGTTTCCAGTGCTTGTGTAACTCAAACATCCTCAAAAAATCAGGGAAGCACCTGCATATTTGACAGTAGGACTGGTGCACGTTTCATCATAGGCCTTGTTGACTACTGTCCTCTCCTCTCCAAATGTAAGATTTATGGTTGCGGCAAGAAAGTTCCCGTTTGGTCTCATACTCCAAACGATTTTGTTCCAGGAATGTTGAGGCTTGTCTCTGTGCTGTTTGGCGTATTGCAAGCGAGATTTTGGTGCCTAGGGCACTTGTCAGGATTACCCTCATGCTCTCCGGAGGATAAAGTAATACTGAGGAGGCCGATGTCCAGTGCAGACCCAAGTGCATTTATTTACATTTTTACAAGTTAAAAGCTAGGCAGCAAAAATCCACACATGCCGCTCCATCCATCTCTAGCTCTCACCAGCAAACACAGAGCTGTATTTATAACAGGTGTGACTAATTGGACTGATCCTAAAACCCAGACACAGGTAAGTACAAAAATACAACCTTTCAATATTCTTAAATTATCCTTAAATGATCATCTGTAAGATTTATTCAATAAATTACAATCCAAAAATAGAAATATCCTTAATTAATCCTAAAAACATTCAGTGAAACTAATCTGCATTCCCTAGAGCAATTTCACAGGTCATCCCTCCTATTCATCCTGAATGGAATGCTCCAGAACCTCCTTTAGGTGCTTTAGCTTCCTGGGGACTCTTTTAGCTGGAACACCTCCAGAAGCACAAAGGAAACAAGTACAACACTCAATCATTTACCATTTTAAGTCTTCAATACTCATACCCACTCTTCTTCTTATAGGTCTTCACTCTTGACCTTTTTAAAAATAAACATTAAAACAATTGTTATTGTGTCTGGTTTCATTTATCATACAAAACCATAACAAAAGCCCGTGTAATGGACTTGCTACATTACAGAGATGTTTTGTGGCATTTGCGTAGTAATGGCTTTCTTCTGGCAACTCAGCCTTGTAGCCCGTTTTTCTTCAAGTGCATCCTTATTGTGCTTCTTGAAACAGCCATGCCACTTTTTTGAGTGAGTCCTGAATGTCAGCAGGACTTGTTTGAGAGTTTTTCTTTTCAACGTGAACAGGACTCCTAATCTTCCACTTCTTCATCAGAGTTCTAACACAGTTATTGGAACAGTTCAAACAATCACTTGATGAAGGGAATATTGTAGGTGCTGTATTTCTGGATTTAAAAAAGGCATTTGACACCATAAACCATAGTTTATTAATTCTCCTCCTTCCATTTCTCAAAGCACTCGGCCTCTTGATTTCAATCATATCTACAGAATCGTGAACAAGTCTAAACTTCTTAAAATTAAAACTGGACTCCCTCAAGGAACAAAATTAGGTCCCGTTCTTTTCAGTTTATACATCAAAACCCTTCCAGATGCATGTCATTTTACAGATATATGCAGATGACGCTATTGTCCATGTATCTGGCAAAGACTGTGTCACAGTTAGCCATAAATTAACTGACAGTTTAACGCAGATTTCCACTTGGCTACAGGATTCTCACTTAATTCTTAACACAAAAAAAAAAACAAAATATATCTGCTTCTCCACGAAAGAATCTGCCACAAACATATTTTTCTATTATTCTA